CGACAACCAGCTGCCGCATAACGTCATGCATTTTCTATATTTTTTGTGCGCATTCATTTTCACATTGTTTTTCAGTTATTTCCGTTGGGAGTTCTGTCAAACTTATATGCTCTAGTCTGTGTAGGCTGTAGTGGGGTAGACAATATGGGGTACAAGACTTTTAGTTTTTCCTACTTGTACCCATCTGTTTCCCACTACATTCACTTCCTCGTTCTTTCACATGGTATAGAGCAGGTTCCCTAGTGGGAACGGTTCCTAGGGCCCACAGTTCCTAGTCAGGTAGCTGCGTCGGGTCAGGTGTTTGCTGCAGCGTCCAGGTCTGGTCCTGAGTCTGCTCCCTGCTCGTGTCGTCTCCTATCCCATCGGACTCTCCTCTGGCACCACCGCCTTGGTCACCCCTCCCTGCCTCGTCTCCAAGGCATGGCCTCCCGTTACCTTGTTTCTGGTCTCCCCCGGTCCCTCCCTCCCCTCCCTCCGAGGCCTGCCCTTACCTGCGTTCCCTATGTCGAGGGGCGGCAGCGCGCCGCCCCTCACTCCTTCGAGTTTCCTCCGACAGAGGCTCCGCTGCAGACTCTTCATATGGACGTGCGGGGCCCCGCCCGCGTCCGTGGCCAGGGTTACGAGCGTTACTTCCTGTTGGTGGTTGAAGACTACTCGCGTTACACCACGGTGTTCCCCTTGCGCAGCAAGGGTGACGTCACTGAGGTGTTGATCGACTGGATCCGCGCAGCTCGTCTCCAGCTCAGAGAGAGTTTCAGCTCGGACTTTCCTGTTCTGCGTCTGCACTCTGACAGAGGCGGGGAGTTTTCCTCTGGCCTTCTGGGAGCCTTCTGTCATGCACAGGGCATCCGCCAGACCTTCACGCTTCCGGCCTCTCCACAGCAAAATGGGATTGCTGAGCGCCGCATTGGCATGGTCATGGACGTCGCTCGTACGTCCATGATCCATGCGGCTGCTCCCCATTTTCTGTGGTCGTTTGCGGTTCGGTACGCAGCACATCAGATCAACCTTCAGCCCTGGGTCTCCTTGCTAGAGACCCCCCCCACCTTGCGGTGGACGGGGAAGGTTGGCGATGCGTCTGCGTTTCGTGTCTGGGGATCTCGGGCGTTTGTCCGCGACTTGTCTGCGGACAAGCTGTCCCCCCGTGCTGTTCCCTGCGTCTTCCTTTGCTTCCCCCCTGACGTGCCTGGTTGGCAGTTTTACCACCCCACCTTGCGCCGTGTTCTGTCCTCCCAGGACGTCACCTTTGACGAGTCGGTTCCTTACTACCGTCTCTTCCCCTACCACACTGCGCCCCTCCCCCCGCCGCCGCTCTTCCTTGCGCCAGGTCCCCCCCCGGTGGACCCTCTCCCCCCTCAGGGTCCTGCCCCGTCAGGTGTGTCCCAGGTAGACGCAGTCGAGCCTGTCGAGGTAGCTGTTGACTCTGGTGCTGCTAGGGGTGCTGAGCATGGGGGTGCTGAGTCTGGGGGTGCTGAGCGTGGGGGTGCTGAGCCTGGGGCTGCGGAGCCCGGGGGTGCGGAGCATGGGGGTGCTGAGCCTGGAGGTGCGGAGACTAGGGGTGCTGGGTCTGCTCGTGTGGCCTTTGGCGGTGCTGGGTCTGGGGGTACTTCGGGTGCTTCGTCTCGGCGGGAGCTACCCTCTCCACAGGAGCTACGCGAGTGGTTTGCCTGGCGCTGGAGCCATGCTGCTGGAGCTGGAGGTGCTACTGTTGCTGCTGACCCTAGGGTCGGCGCTGGAGGTACTGGAGCCACTGGTCCTGGAGGTGCTCGTACTGGCGGTGCTGGAGCAGTTGGGACTGGGGGTGCTGCTGGGGCTGCTGGATTTGGTCCTGCTGGAGGTGTTGCGGGTGCTGCTGGAGGTACTAGAGCTGCTAGGGGTGTTGGCGCTGGAGGTGCTGCTGGCGCTGGTACATCTGAGGGTGCTGGAGTTGGCGCTGCTGGAGCTAGAGGTACTGCTGGCGGTGGTGCTGCCGCTGGGGGTACTGGTGCTGTCCCTGGTGTTTCAAGAGGCGCTGAGTGGCCGCGGCCGTACTTCCTTCTGCTCCTTGAGCAGGTTCTTGGTCCCGCCTTCTACTGGTCCTACTCCTCCCTTAGAGTGTCCACAACCTGTCCAGTCACAGTTACAGCCCGCCTCCCCCCTGCCTGCTCCTTCTCCCTACACTGGTCCTACTTGAGGTCTTGCTGAGCGTCGTGAGCCTGCGTCTCGTCCTGCGTCGCCTGTTCGTGCTGCTCGCACTAGTAGTCGTGTTCCGCGTCCGCGTCCTCCTGCGGTCCCAGGAACACACCAGATGGCACTGGGTCCTTCCACTGCTCCTCTGCGTGTCTCGTTGCCGTCTCCTCCAGAGTCCTCTCTTCCTGTTCTTGCTGACCCGGAGTTTGACTCGCTTCGTGCTGCCAGTCCTACTGTCACGTGTCTCTTGGCTACTGTTATCACTGACCCTTCCTTTGAGTCCACTGTCTCGTCTGCCTTAGTTGCTGAGCTTGTCGTCTTTGCTGCTCGCTATCGTCTAGACTACGCTGCTAGTCTTGTTGTTGCGTCTGAGTCTGTCTGTCCTCCGTCCGTCGGGGGTGAGTGTGCTCTTAGCACGGACGTCCTTGAGGACATGCAAGAGGAGTTCCAGTGTTTTGCTACTGTTTTGCCTCATCTCGTGTCCATGCTGGTTGCCCCTGAGGGAGACCCGGATGCACCAGACATCCCGAATCCTCGATCGTACGCTGACGCGATCAAGGGTCCCTACTCCTCTCAGTGGAAGTCAGCCATGGACGCAGAGATGGCTTCCTGGAAGTCCACAGCCACCTACGTCGACGAGGTTCCCCCATCTAGGGCGAACATTGTCAGTGGCATGTGGATTTTGAGGGTGAAGCGGCCGCCGAGTTCTCCGCCTATCTTCAAGGCGCGTTACGTGGCTCGAGGCTTCAGTGAGCGGTAGGGAGTTGACTTTTTTCAGACCTTCTCTCCCACCTCGAAGATGACCACTCTTCGGGTGCTGCTCCACATAGCCGCTCAGCGTGACTACGAGCTTCACTCTCTTGACTTCAGCACAGCTTTCTTGCAGGGCTGCCTGCACGAGGAGATCTGGCTACGCCGCCCACCTGGCTTCTCTGGGTCGTTTCCTCCTGGTACCAAGTGGAGCCTCCGTCGGCCAGTCTACGGTCTCCGCCAGGCGCCCCGTGAGTGGCACGCCACACTGAGGACTACACTTGCGGCTCTTGGGTTTGCTCCTTCTACTACCGACCCATCGCTGTTTCTACGCACCGACACCTCTTTGCCGCCGTTCTACATCCTCGTGTACGTCGACGACTTGGTCTTTACCACTGCTGGCATTGCTGGACTCGCCCACGTGAAGTCGGAGCTGCAGAAGAGACACACGTGCACAGACCTGGGTGAACAGCGCAGCTACCCTGGCTTGCAGATCACCCGGGACAGAGCACAGCGCACCATTACCCTGACTCAGTCACACATGGTGCAGTAGGTCCTTCAGCGCTTCGACTTCACGTACTCCTCGCCTTAGGCCACTCCTCTGTCTACTCGCCACTCGCTCTCAGCTCTGCCTTTGGATTAGTCCGTAGAGCCGAGTGGCCCATACCCAGAGCTTGTTGGCTGCCTCATGTACCGGATGACCTGCACTCGACCTGACCTTGCATACCCTCTTAGCATCTTGGCACGCTATGTTGCTCCTGGGAGACACCGACCAGAGCACATGGCTGCAGCGAAGAGGGTGTTGCGCTACTTGTGCAGTACGTCGGGCATGGGGCTAGTGCTTGGAGGGCGGCGTTCAGTGGTCCTCACCGGTCACGCAGACGCTTCTTGGGCTGACGACCAGGCTACGCAGCGGTCGTCACAGGGTTACACCTTCAGCCTTGGTTTTGGCTCTGTTTTGTGGCGGTCCACCCGCTCGTCTTCGGTTCTCGGCTCCAGCTGTGAGGCTGAGATCTACGTGGGGGCCATGGCTGCATAGGAGCTACGCTGGCTCACCTACCTACTGACTGACCTAGGAGAGCCGCCTCGTTCTCCTCTAGTTCCGTACGTAGACAACAAGGCCATGCTGGCCTTGTGTTAGGAGCACACATTGGAGCACAGAACGAAGCACATTGCTCTTCGTTACTTCCTTGCTCGTGAGCTGCAGCAGCGTGGTCAGGTGCGCCTTGCTTACGTGGCCTCTGAGGCCAACACAGCTGATATCTTCACCAAGGCACTTCCGCCTTGTGATCATCAGCGCTACTGTACGATGTTAGGTCTTGTGCCTACTTGGCCTCACTTGCTCACTTCTTGACCTTGCTTGTACTGTGATCTATCTCTACCTGCACTTGCTTGTTTACCTTTATATATGATCTTGCATGTGAACTCGCCTTATGGCCTTGAACTTGTGCTCGGAATTTGTGGTGACGTTGTGATCCACCCTGAGCTTGCTTTGCTTTGCTTGACTGGTCTTGTGACCTCTTGTTCTCCCCCACTTTGCCTATGGGGTTGTGTCAAACTTATATGCTACAGTATGTGTAGGCGGTAGTGGGGTAGACTACATGGGGTACAACACTTTTGGTTTTCCTACTTGTACCCATCTGTTTCCCAGTGCATTCACTTCCCTGTTCTTTCACAGGTTCATTAGTGTAAGAAATTTTCCCGAATTCCTTATCGGGATTGACTGCTACGCGTACAGCCTGACTTTCAGACTTAGCACGTTCGGCCGATTTCAACGCTGCCGAGGCTCCTCGCGTCGCCTTCGGCATTTCCCATCGCCAAACCTGCAACACAAGCTCGCTCATCCAAGGTTTCCTCCTAGCTAGGCCAACCCCTACATTAGTCCGTGCCTTCATTGTATTCTTAGATCAGTTAATCACAGTCTGTTATTCGTTTACCTGCGCACTCTCTTTTACAAGTCATAACACTTGGTATCCGAGCTACTTTCCTAGTTCACCTCGCTTTTCCGAAGTTAGTTTGGTGACATAGGGTTGTGAAACTCATATGCTATAGTTTGTGTAGGCTGTATTGGGGTAGACAATATGGGGTACAACGCTTTTAGGTTTTCCTACTTGTACCCACCTGCTTGCTAGTTCATTCATTCCTCATTTCTCCACATGATATAGAGCAAGTTCCCTAGTGCGAACGCTTCCTACGACCCACCACTGATTTTTTTTTTTTTTTTTTTTTTGACCGGAGCGCGAGTCGTCCTTGTCCGAGGCGCGCCCCGTGGGCCGCCCTCTCGTCGCGTCCCCTGCCCTTAGCGGCCTGTCGCGCCCTCCTAGAGGCCCCTCTCACGGCCCTTCGCGCCACCCCTAGCGGCCCCGTCGCCGCCCTTAGCGGCCCCGTCGCCGCCCTTAGCGGCCCCGTCGCCACCCCTAGCGGCCCCATCGCCGTCCCTAGCGGCCCCGTCGCCGCCCTTCGCGACCCCGTCGCCGCCCGTTACGGCCCCGTCGCCGCCCTTCGCGGCCCCGTCGCCGCCTTTCGCGGCCCCGTCGCCGCCCCCATCGGCCCCGTCGCCGCCCTTCGCGGCCCCGTCGCCGCCTCTAGCGGCCCCGTCGCCGCCCTTCGCGGCCCCGTCTCCATTCCTTCGCGGCCCCGTAGCCGCCTTTCGCGGCCCCGTCGCCGCCTCTAGCGGCCCCGTTGCCGCCCTTCACAGCCCCGTCGCCGACCCTTCGCGGCCCCGTAGCCGCCCTTCGCGGCCCCGTCGCCGCCTCTAGCGGCCCCGTCGCTGCCCTTCGCGGCCACGTCGCCGCCCCTAGCGGCCCCGTCGCCGCCCTTCGCGGCCCCGTCGCCGCCCTTCGCGGCCCCTTGCGGCCTCTTCTTAGCCCCGTCGCCACCCTTCCCGGCCCCTCCTCGGCTCCTCCGCCACCAGCAGCAGCCGCCGCCGCCGCCTGCAGTAGCCGACAGCAGCAAACGCCGCCGACAACAGCGGCGGCCACCACCAGCAGCAGCCGTCGCCGACGACAGCAGCGACTGCCGCCGCCACTAACAGCAGCAGCTACCGCCGCGGTCCCGGCTCTGTGCCTGCCGACGCGCCTCGGCCCTGCCTCACTGCTTGCCAGCCCCTACCTACCAGCCCTGGTGAGAGCACTGCCGAGCCACGCCTTCTCCTGCTGCCCCTAGCCTGCTGCCAGTGCTGTCATGGCTACCCCTAGTGTTCTAGTCTTTGATGCTGAGGGTCGGGCTGTTGACTTTGAGGTCTGGGTTGATGATCTATAGCTTTTCCTACAGTGCGATAGGAAGGACGGTCTCTCCCTGTTCGATCTCACGTCTGGCGCCTCTACTGCCCGTGCTGCCGATGCTGACAGCATTGTTCGCTCACAGTGGGCCACACGCGAAGCTGCTACTCGTCTTGCTGTGCGTAGTCACTTGCCGTCCACTGAGCGCGCGCACTTTAGTCAGTACAAGAGTGCTAAGACCTTGTACGATGCTGTCGCTGCACACTACTCTTCCCCTGCCACTGCTGCCCTTAGCCGCCTCATGCTGCCGTACCTGTTTCCTGACCTCGCCGCCTTTCCCACTATCGCTGACCTCGTTACGCACCTTTGCACTAGTGACACCCGCTACCGCGCTGCGCTTCCTGCTGAGTTCTGCGCCAAGAACCCCCTCCCCGATGTACATCACCCTCTACTACATAGTCACCCGGCTCCCTAACTCCCTTCGCTCGGTCAGGGACCACTTTCAATCTGTTTGCCGTACCACACTCACCGTTGACCTCCTCAAGGAGCGCCTCCTGGCAGCTGAGAAGAGTACAGTCCCTGTAGGAGCCTCTTGTGGTGACCCTCGTGCCCCCGTCTTTGAGAGGTGCTCCCCCTCCCCCCTTTTGCCCTCTGTTGCCTCTGCTGTTGCCGTCGACTTCGTTGGCACCGAGTCGGTCCGCACTGCGTCTGCCCCTAGCGGGCGACGCCGCACCGGCAAGGGCAAGGGGGGCAAGGGCGCTAGAGGGGCTCGAGGGGGCGGTGGAGGTGGCGGTGGAGGAGGCGGAGGGAGTGGGGGTGGTGGAGGGAGTGGTGGCGGGGGTGGGGGCTTCGGTGGCGGCGGTGGAGGCGGAGGCGGAGGCGGCGGCGGTGGCGGTGGGAGCGGAGGAGGAGGCGGCGGCGGCGGTGGCGGATGTGGCGGCGGAGGAGGTGGAGCTAGTCGAGGTGGCTCTGCGCAGGGGGGCGGCTTCGGTGGTGGTCAGCGCCAGCAGCAGCAGCGCACTCGTGAGACCCCGCCCCCCCAGCAGCTTCGTGAGTGGTACGCTTCGCGTCAGCGGGGTGGGGGTGCTAGTCCCTGTACCTACGTCCTGCGTACCGGCGACCGTACGGGTGAGCAGTGCGGGGGCCCGCACCCCACCCAGCGCTGCTTCGGCCGCCTGACGGACGCCTGGCGTCTCTAGTTCCCTGACGCCACTGAGATCCCTCGCTGGGGAGAGCTGCAGTGGCCGGGGGTTGCTATCTTTGATCTTGATTGTGATGTTATTCTTGCTGCCATGTATGCTGTGTCTGCTAGTGATGAGGGTGACTGTTACCTATGTGTTCCGCCTGACTCGGGGATTGGGACTGCTGCTCTAGGTGCTGGTGAGGCTGTTGCTCTAGGTGCTAGATGTCAAACATTATGTATGTTGTAGTTGGTTAGGCTACAGTGGGTTAGCCTTTAGGGGGTACACAATTCTATGTTTAGGTACTTGTACTCAGTTCTCTCTCAATTCAATCATGCATTCTCTAACATGGTATCAGAGCAGGTCCTTCGCTAGGACCGATTTCTTAGGGCCCACCACTCCTGACTGCCTACTAGCGCCCTCGTGCGCCTCACTGTCGGAGCGCCCTCGAGCGCCTCCCCCAGCGTCCCTCCTTTTAACGACCCCTTAGCGACCCGCGCGCCGCCCCTTAGAGGCCTCGTCGGCCCATCGACCCCGAGCGCGCCCCACCTTACGGCCCCGTCGGCCCCACCTAGAGGCCCCGTCGGCCCGCGCGCCCCACCTTGAGGCCTCGTCGGCCCCACCTAGAGGCCCCGCCGGCCCACGCGCCCCACCTAGAGGCCCCGCCGGCCCACGCGCCCCACCTAGAGGCCCCGTCGGCCCCACCTAGAGGCCCCGTCGGCCCGTCGACCCCGCGCACGCCCCTCCTTGAGGCCCCGTCGGCCCCGCCTAGAGGCCCCGCTGGCCTTGTCGACCCCACGTGCGCCCCGCGTAGAGGCCCCGCTGGCCCTGTCGACCCCGCGCGCCGTCCCTTAGTGGCCCCGTCAGCCCCGTAGACCCCGCGCGCCCACCCCATAGCGGCCCCGTCGACCCCACGCGCCGCCCCTTAGCGCCCCGCACGCGACAGCCACGGCCCCGCCAGAACCAGGCCGCCCAAACCGAGCTGCCCGAACCGAGACGCCCAGCCCGAGCTGAGCCGCGCCGCCCGAACCGAGCCGCGCCGCCCTACATGAACCGAACCGCGCCGCCCGTACTGAGCAGCCTTTCTGTACCAAGCCGCTCTACCTGAGTCGCGCTGCCTACTGCTTTTAGGGTGCACCCTCTGCTACTGCTCCTTCTACTATACTGCTGCTCCTACTGCTACTATGGCTAGCCCTCCTGTACTAGCTTTCGATACAGAGGGCCGCCCAGTGAAGTTTGACACCTGGCTAGATGATCTGCACCTCTTCCTACAGCTCACTGCCAAGGAGGACATCTCACTGTACGATCACGCCCTAGGCCATGCCACTGCCCCTGCTGCTACTGTTGACAGCACTGCCCGCTCACTGTGGCAGACTCGTGACGCCCACACTCGCTTTGCTATTCGCAACTCCGTGCCGATAGATGAGCGCGAGCACTTTGGCCTGTACAAGACTGCCCAGGCACTGTACACTGTCGTCGTTGCGTGCTACTCCTCACCTGCCTCTGCTGCGCTAGGCCGTCTCTCACTCCCCTACCTGTTCCCCGACCTCGCCTCCTTCCACACAATCGCTGACCTCATCACGCACCTCCGTACTAGTGAGGCCCGCTTCCGTGCCGCTATGCCTGATGAGTTTCTTGTTACGAACCCCCCCCCCCCCCGCTCTGGCTCACTCTCTACCACCTAGTTACCCGCCTCCCTGACTCTCTGCATGCAGTCAGGGACCACTTCCAAGCTCGCTGCCCCACTGAGCTCACCATTGCCCTCCTCGAGAAGGAACTACTTGCAGCTGAGGCTAGCATAGTCGCTGTAGGTGCCTCTCGTGGGGACCCCCGCACCCCTTTCTTCGAGGGGTGTTCCCCTTCCCCCCTTCTTCCCTCTGTAGCCTCTGCTTCTGCTGTCAACCTCCTTGGTGCTGAGAAGGTCGGGACTGCGTCTGCTTCGAGCTGGCGCCGCAGCGGCAAGGGCAAAGGGGGCAAGGGAGGCAGAGGTGACGGCGGGGGAGGCGGTGGTGGGGGTGGTGGCGGCGGTGGGGGTGGTGGTGGGGCTGGAGGGGCTAGTGGCAGCGGTTGGGGTGGTGGCGGCAGCGGCGGGGGAGATGGCAGGGGAGGGGGTGGTGGTGGGGGTGGTGGTGGACGCGGCAGCGGCAGGGGAGGGGGTGGTCGAGGAGTTGGCGGTGGCAGTGGTGGTCGTGGGGGCGCTGGCAGTGGCCAAAGCCAGCAGCACACTCCGTCACCCCAGGAGCTCCTTGAGTGGTACTCTCAGCACGGGGGGGGGGGGGGGGGGGGGGTGGCCTTAGCTGCACGTACGTTATCCGCACTGGTGACCGCACTGGTCAGACGTGTGGGAGGGCTCGCCCCACGTAGCGCTGCTTCTCTCGCCTCGACGACGCTTGGCGCACTCAGTTTCTTGAGGCCACTGAGCTGCCTTTCTGGGCTGATCTGATGAAGAAAAACATTGATATCTTTGCACTAGACTTTGATGCTATTCTCACCGCCATGTATGTGATGTCTGTTAGTGGAGAGGGTGCTCAGTACCTGCGTGTTCCGCTCGATCCGGGCATTCGGACCAATGAGGCTGCCGCTCTAGGTGCTAGAGTGTCTGCTACCCCAGGTGCTGGTGAGGCTACCGCTCTAGCTGCTAGTGAGTCTGCGCCCCCTCGTACTGAGCTGACTGAGGCACTGCACACCTTCACACTGCACTCAGGTGCTTCCCGCTGTTTCTTTCGTGACCGCACGGCCCTTGAGCAGCTTGCTCGGCCAGTTGCAGTCTCCCTCGCTGACCCCTCTGGGGGTCCGGTCCTTGCGACCTCCTCCACTGTCCTCCCCTGTCCTGCGGTCCTATCGGGCACACTATTAGGTCTCTACCTCCCCTCGTTCTCTACGAACTTGGTGGTGGGTAGTGCGCTCCAGGACGGGGGTGTCCACCAGTTCACCCCTGCCTACGAGCGTGTGACACACTGCACGTGTGCTCGAACGGGCTGTCACCTCGCTACCTTCACACGGCAGCCGGGGTCGGACCTCTACACACTGACCACTGAGTCCCCTCAGGTAGCTGCGTCTGCGTCTTCGTCAGGTCAGCTGGCGGCCCCCTGCTCGTGTCGCTCTCTGGTGCACGAGACCGTCCTCTGGCACCACCGACTTGGTCACCCGTCCGTGCAGCGCCTTCAGGCCATGCACAAACGGTACCTGGTCTCTGGTCTTCCCAGGGTTCTCCCTCCCCTCCCACCCTTGCCTTCTCCTCCCTGTCTTCCCTGTGTTGAGGGGCGGCAGCGCGCCGCTCCTCACTCCTCGTCGTTTCCCCCGACGACTGCTCCCTTGCAGACGCTCCACATCGACGTGTGGGGCCTAGCCCGCGTCCGTGGTCAGGGTCAGGAGAGGTACTTCCTGATAGTTGTTGACGACTACTCGCGCTACACCACGGTCTTCCCCTTGCGCACCAAGGGTGAGGTCCCTGATGTTTTGATACCTTGGATCCGCGCTTCTCGTCTCCAGCTCAGCAAGCGTTTCCACTCAGACTTTCCTGTCCTGCGCTTGCACTCTGACAGAGGTGGTGAGTTCTCCTCCGACCTCTTGGCAGCCAACTGTGCGGAGCACGGCATCCGCCAGTCGTTCACGCTTCCGGCCTCTCCACAGCAGAATGGGGTTGCTGAGCGCCGCATTGGCTTGGTCATGGAGGTCGCTCGTACCTCCTTGATCCATGCGGCTGCCCCCCACTTTGTGTGGCCGTTTGCGGTCCGATACGCTGCGCATCAGCTCAACCTCTGGCCCCGTGTCTCCTTGCCGGAGACTTCCCCGACACTGCGTTGGACGGGAGAGGTTGGCGATGCGTCCCGTTTCCAGGTCTGGGGATCTCGAGCTTTTGTTTGCGATAGGTCCGCGGACAAGCTCTCCTCCCGCGCTGTTCCTTGTGTCTTCCTTGGCTTTGTCCCGGACGCGTCTGGTTGGAAGTTTTACCGCGCCACCTCGTGCCGTGTCCTGCCCTCTCAGGACGTCACTTTTGACGAGGCTGTGCCCTACTAATGCCTCTTCCCCTACCGTACTGCCCCGCTCCCCCCCCCGCCTCTCTTCCTCATGCCAGGTGCTGCTGTCGTAGACCCCCCCCCCCCTCAGGGTGCCGATCCCTCAGGTGTGTCCCAGGTAGACCTGGTTGAGCTTGTCGAGGTAGCTGTCAACTCTCGTCCTGCTAGGGGTGCTTAGCCTGAGCGTGCGGAGCCTGGGTTTGCGGAGTCTGGGAGTGCTGAGCCTGGAGGTGCTGAGCCTGGGGTTGCGGAGCCTGCGGGTGCTGAGTTTGGAGGTGCTGAGCCTGGGAGTGCTACACCTGGAGGAGCTCTCTCCTCACAGCAGCTGCATGAGTGGTACTTATAGTACTACAGCCTGAGGAGAGGTGCTTCTGGATCTAGGAGTGCTGCTGGAGCTAGGGCTAGTGCTTCCCCTCCTAAGCGAGAGCTGCCCTCTCCCCAGCGGCTCCGGGAGTGGTAGGCACGGCGCTGCAGTCTCAGGAGTGGCGCTCCTTGTGCTGCGGACCCGGGCGTTGGAGCTGCTGCTGGTCCTGCTTGACGTCTCTGCTCGTCGCGGCACCCCCTGGGCGCCGTCTCTGCTCGTCGCGGAGCCCTCGGGGCGACGCCCTTACTCGTCGCGGCGCCCACTGGGCGCCGTCTCTGCTCGTCGTGGCGCCCCCTGCGCGCCGTCTCTGCTCGTCGCGGCGCCCCCTGCGTGCCGTCTCTGCTCGTCGCGGCGCCCCCGAGGCGTCGCCCTTACACGTCGCGGCGCCCACTGGGCGCCGTCTCTGCTCGTCGTGGCGCCCCCTAGGCGCCGTCCCTGCTCGTCGCGGAGCCCCCCCCACCCCCCCTTGCATCAGTCGTGGCCCCGCCCTGCAGCAGCTGGCGTGGAGCCCCCTGCAGCAGTCGCGGCCCCGCCCTGCAGCAGCTGCTGCGGAGCCCTCCCGCCACTGTCGCGGCCCCGCCCTGCAGCAGCTGCCGCGGAGCCCCCTGCCTCAGTCGTGGCCCCGCCCTGCAGCA